CTATAATTTATTGTATTCTCCAGATCCTTTTCCTGAGGGGACTTTAATGAAAGTGCCCTCTTCAAACCACTGATTTTCCGTACCACAGCTTTTTGTTCGTACCTCGCTGCATTACACACACCCGTATCCACTTGCAAGGTGGTATACGCCTGTTCTTTATATCTCTCACCTTCTCGGGGCATTATCTTTTCCGGATATTCCTTTCTTTTTTCGTCATTACCACCCCCGATTCTTTTTCTTGGCGATTTTAATCCCCACCCTTCCTTGGGGGGGCCCCCCCCAGTGATTCCCATGGCTTTCATTAGGGTTTTTTTGCCACCCACCCCCTCCAGTTTTAAATACGGGTACTCACACCCATTTTGATCCTGGGACTCACACTCTCTCTTGCACGATCTCCATCGCCTTCCTCCGCCGCATTAACTTCCTTGTCTTTTTTCCGGGATTTAACATGAAGCGATAAATTTCCCCAATCATTCTTATTTCCCCTTCATATTCACCATCTCTTCGCATCCCACCGGGCAATTTGATCGGGCCAAATTTGGAATTTTACTCACCCCTAACGTTTTTAGAGAGGTTCCTTTTTTCGTCCCCATTGATGATTTTTTAAAAACCTCTTCCTCGTCCTCTTTTTTAAAACCCAGCTCTCATTCATAACCCCAAACCGGGCGGGGCATTTTCAGAAATGCTGCCTTGGGGGTCCCCTTTGCCGTGCATACTTTAAAAACGTGCTCAGGGGGCGGTCCCGGGTACAATAAAAACCACAGAAGCTTCCGATTTTAACAAAGCTGCGTCGCTTCGCCCCGGTCATCCGTGACGCAAACGCACTTGCTGGCAGATTTGTCCCACCATCACCCCCCTCTTCCTCATGAGGCAGTCGGAAAAAATACAAAAACTGAGTGGTAAATTTCCCCCCACCCGGGCCCCTGTTCTGCGGTTGCCGGTTTTGAAAAGAAAACCTCTAATGTTGCCAATGAAATTGGCAACATCTGGTCCTATTTCTGAGGGACCCATCATGCCCCCATTTCTTTCCTCAAAGTCTCCAGAAGTTAGCACCCTTTTGAGTTTCTTCTCTCAAAGAAAAAGAAATGTGCCTTTTACACTTCAAAACTGGGGCAACACTCTCAGCTTCCCGATCAGGGCCTGGGCCCCGCATTCATTTTCTAGCTAAAAAAACATTTACTCAGTCACCTTGCAGTCCTATTACCCTTTACAAACTTTTTTGGGGTCACAAGGATTCTTCCAACTGTGGAAATCCCCATTGTTCTCCCTTTCCAAAAAAACCGGGGCACAAAAGGGGAAAAAAAAACCTCCCACTACGCCCTTTTGCCTTACCAGGCAGTTTGCAAAGTGATGGAACGCCTATAAAAAACGTTTAGTGTGGTATTTAAGACACACAAAGTCCTTCCACTCGTCAATATGGCTTTCGTAGGGACATTCTACCCAAAACCCCCCTTACTACTCTTGGATACGTATGTTCGTAATGCCTTTGCGAATAACCACTCATTTTTGCCATATTTTTTGACCTTAAAAAGGCAAAGACACAACTTGAAGGAATAATATTTTTACCCAAGCCCACCCGGGCCCTTCGAGGCAATCTCCCACCTCCTTAAGAACTTTTAAACTGACAGGCATTTCCGTTTCGGGTTAATAATGGCTCTCCCCGGACTTTAACCAAAGCTGTAGGGTCCCCCAGGAGGGTTTCTGAGCACAACACTTTTTCCCCTTGCTTTTATTTTTTGGCCTCTACCCCATAAAATATTTGGTCATCACTCAATTTGATGACTTCCATTTTGCCTGTGCAGGCGTACTGTCACCTTATTACATTTTTCTCTCCAGCATGCAGTCGACCGGTTTCCAATTTGGGGCCCCCACACTGGTTTAAATTTTTCCGCACTAAAACCCACCAAAATTTCTTTCACTAGACCTCTGCATCCCGACATCCCGTAC